GGTCTCCTGCGAGGCTGTAGGCGAATACGCATCTTCGAGATGACGAGGCGATGGTCGGTCCACCCGTCAGCACCCGCGATCGCCTTCGTCACCAGCACGTCCCGCTGATCTCGCCTCCGGACGAGGACATAGTCCAGCAGGTGCCACTGACGCGACCGAGGATGCCTCCAGGTGGCCTTCTCTCGCTCCGGCAGACAGAAGAACGTGTTCGTCAGGATGAGGCGGTGTTCTGCGCAGGTGCGGAGGAGAAGCAGGCCGTTGTCGTTGGAGCCGCGGAGACCGTGAGGACCCAGCACTCCCCTCCAGGCAGTATGGTCTGTGCCGACGCGGGCGTTGAAGTCACCAAGGACAATCAACTTGTCCGCCTTCGACACAGTCGCCAAGAGGGCGTGCAGGTCCTCGTAGAATTTGTCTCTGACGGCGTCGGAACTGGTCATCGGCGGAGCGTAGGCGCTGAGGATGGTGGCGAACTTGCCTCCTCGCCGGAGGGGCAGGCGGAGGCTCATCAGGCGATCGTTGATTCCCTGCGGCAGACAGGGCAGTCGTCCCACGATGTCGGTCCGGATGGCGAAGGCGACGCCCGCGTCTCGTCGCTCAGCCCTGGGTCGACCACTCCAGAAGAAGGTGTAGCCGGCACCCACCTCCTCGAGTTGGCCTTGTTCGGAGAATCGGGTCTCGCTGAGTGCGGCGATGTCCACCTTGTAGCGCGCCAGTTCTCGTGCCACTAGCGCCGTCCTCCGTTCCTGTCGGTTGCTCCTCGGATTGTCTAAAAGGGAACGAACATTCCAGGCTGCCAGAGTGAGCGGGCTCACCCTGCCAGTCTGGCGACTGCGGCGGCGAAAAGTAGTAGTAGGAGAAGAAGAAGAATAGGCTGGAAGAGGAAGAGAGTAATTGTTGTTGTTGTTGTTTCGGTTTTGGCTGTTTCGACCGTGTGTTTTTTTGTCTGCGGCCACGGCCAGCCTACAGACAGCGTGGTTCCCAGCGATCTTTAGGGCACCTTTTCTAGCCCCCTCCCCCTCGCGGGGGCAGGCAACGCATCCCTGAACAGGGCTGCCCGGTTATCCCAGACGGCTGCCGGACTCCACTATGGGCCACGACTTTTTGTTAGTGAGAGAACGACCCGAATTAGCCTGGGACCTTGGTGGTGAGGTGATGATGTGATGGAGTGAAGTAGGAGAGAGCATACACACTAACTAACGCTAGGGGACTTAAAACTAGAGTGGACAAGCGGACACAGTCATCAGTCAGAGACAGAGTGAGGGCACCACACAAAGTCAAGCACCGTAACACCTAGCTATTAGTAGAGAGTGGCATAGACTGACGGGCAGACAATCGCATCATGCATCGAGGGTGTCGTTTAGCTATTAACAGACAGACTAGCATATAAAGGCCAGGCAGCAAGCGCAGCGTACGACGCGGAACTTCAACAAACAAAAGGAAGAAACAAAGCAAACGCACTTACCTGAGGGGAAACTTACCTGGTGGCCTCCTGCGATGGTCCAGGCAGAGCCTCGTCTCGACGATGTCGACGCGAAGATCCATCCGGCCAGCGCAGACCACAGTACCGCGCGTGCAGGTGCACGCACGGATACCCTCACCTGGTTTATCCCGCCGGTCGAGACGGTTGCCCGGGGTGTGGCCGCTGAGCAGAGCCCAGCTACGTGGAGCCACAGGTGAGAGTTAGGTGCCAGCAAATGGACGCTAGGCGTAGTCTCACCTGCAAGCAAGTGAGCGACCACTACGACCATCACGTGGACCCACCGCTGGACACCCCTACACCCCACCAAAGTAACCACCAGTTGTCACAAACGCAGCTGTGTACGAACTCTTTACAGGAGAGCTGATACTCATTGCAGCGAAACCGGCGAAAAATTGGCTGAACCCCACTATTTTTTTCAGTGGAATTTCACTTTCACTTGCTAACCTCGCAGTTTTACCAAACGAAGCAGACTGCCCAAGCCAACTATAAGATTAACAGCAAATCAACGGAAAGTCTGGCGAGCACTATCATACAGTGCATGACCGATCTCATGAAATGTTGGCCGAAATTATGGAATGCATTCTCGATTAGAAAGGATTACTTAGGTGAGGTTGTAATATTACTTAGCATGCAACATAATCCTATGGTCTTTCGGACTCATCAGGATGGCAGCTTTTGAATGCGCTCCTTTTTGACCTCCTGCAGAAACCGCGCTCGGTAAAAATAACTATTTAAGTAGCAGGCATTTTCCCTACTGATTTTCAACGGTCTTACAAAGTCAAATATATTTCATAGAAAACATGCAAAAATATGCTTTCTTCTACTCTTTTCGTAGAAAAACGCGTTGCCTTTATATTTTATATCCAAAGAAAGTGTGTATTTGGGTTTTAAAAAAGTTCCCCTATTCTCGAACAATTTTGAGTCTGATCTGCCCTTGAATTAGCGTTTAGCTACTTCAGTCTATAAGGTGCATGTTTTCCGCGTAAGAAAAATCATATATTCCTGTATGTTTTGAAGAAGATACCATATAACGTTCATAAAATTTCGCAATGTGCGGTCCTGTATGCATGGACGTCGCACGGTTTTAAAAATCTTTTGATTAGCAACTTCTTTAAACCAAATATACACTATATCTGGGCATAAAATATAAAGACAATGTGATTTTCTACCAAACGAGTAGACGAAATCATATTTTTTGCATGTTTTATATGAAATGTATTTAAATTTGTAAGACCGTGGAAAATAAATAGGAAAAACGCATGCTACTTAAGTAGTCATTTTTACCAAATGCAGTTTCTCCAGTAAATAGAATAAGGAGTACATTCAAAAGCCGACATCCTGATGAGTCCGAAAGGTAATAGGATTATGCTGCATGCTAAGCAGTATTATAACCCCACCTAAGTAATCCTCCCTAATCAAAAACGCGTTTCAGAATTTCGGCTAACATTTAATGAGATCGGTCACGCATTGTATGTCGCTCTTCTCTTGCGACCACTGGGTATCGTCATCGCCCACTGACCAGAGGCAACAAGCAGACGGCTAGTCATAAGACCAAAGACCCCCTGTCACGAAGCAAAACGGTAAATGTCGCATATCGGATACAGTGCAGTTCCGGTAAAGCAAACTACATTTAAGACACCGGTAAGAGATTGCAGACCCGCATGGGCGAGCACGCAAGTGCTATGCGAAGAATGGATCAGCTCTCGCTGGTGGTGGAACACTGCGCAGCTTCTGGCCATGCCTTTGCTTTCCAAGACGCCGAAATCTTCGGCTAGGGGAGCGACCTGACGACCAGGGAGACGATCGAAGCCGCGCATTTCAAAACTACTCCCATCAACCCCTGTTAAACTCTGCCAGCAGCCTGACAACCTCTAGTGGTAAAGTTCAATATGTAGGACTGCGGGCAAGGACCTCGCGCCACACACGGTGGTAGTCAAATTCAGACAGAGCGAGAATACGGGTGACCGTGGACTAGTATCGGAAACACAACCGGTGGCGAAAGCAAACGCACACGACCACCTGCTGAGTATGAACGCAGGTGTACGCGAGCATGGCGAGGGAACACATTACAGTGACAATGACTACCAGCCTGACGCCAAGACTGGTGTGACACCACTATTCACATGTTTGCGGACAGATGTGAACGAGGCATGAAGGCGAGATTCACGAAGACAATAAACATGGACAGTGCGAAAAAAGAGCAGTGACCGTGGTCACCTCGACGACACCCTCCCCCCCCCCTCGGCAAAGTGATATGGAAGAACCAACGCCACCATGACAACAATCACCAGCCCCAGAGGTGCGGCGCGCACAGATAGCCTGAAAGTCAGCGGCACGATAGCACTAACAAAAAGCTTAAGGTCATTCTTATGGAACTCACTAGCTCCGTTGCGTTGGTGAGCGCCCCCCTACCATTGTTAATTCCCGGTCGAAACTGACGGGGCAACGAGCCCGTAGATCCGTGGTTGGAGGCGTTGGAATTCTAAAAAACAGGTTGCGAGTTCGAGCCCCGTTAGTGCCACACATCGGGGTTGGGTAGGACTGGTTGACGACGGCTAATGAGCCAGAAACGGCCATTCCAGGCTCCCTTGTCTTTGTCGGTAATATCATTCTGCCTATATCATGCGTCGCTGTGAGGCTGCTGGTTGAGCTCGAGAGAAAGAGTTCCTAAGGCACAACGGAACGAATGAGCTCGGTAAGGAAGATCGGTGAGCGCCCCATCAATGGTAGAGCGTCAAACTCCATGACCAAAGATGCCGGTTTCGAATCTCAAGTGATCCACACTTGGGGTTGGATATGACTGGCTGATGACGGCTAATAAGCCAATGTGGCCATTCCGGTCTCCTTTGTCATTGTCGGTACCACCTGATTTACATCATTCTACTAGTCGCTGTGCGTCTGCCTGCGAGATGGACATCCCAAGAAACACATTTCGAATAAAAATGAGTCCTTTAGGAAACTGATGATAGTGTATTGGGAAACTGTTGTACCCTTGCTCCCCAGGTCGTCGTCAGTCGTGTAGAAAGCGTAAAAACAGGTAAAATGTAAACATGCCTAAAAAATCGATATTGCTTTGTCAGTTCTGGAATGAGTCAAGTATATGAGCGGACGTCACGTCTTGTTTGGCCATCACCTTTTCAATTTTTCATTGAGATTTGTGTACATGTCATGAAGATCGATGTGCCGATTGATGCATGAATAATCAGAGTGAATGACCTCTAGAGATCCTCGGCCTTTCCTATGTGGGCAGGAACCGGCATTGCGCGTTTTATCCTAAATAAATTTTTACCCAGTTTCTAGAGTATACATGCGACTTGGGATAAGTGGTCGCGCCTCTTTGCTGCAAATTGGTGTTCATATAGGCGTGTGGAAGGGGATTTCCCTGTCCGACCACAATATATCGTATTACAGTTGCAAAATGGAATCGTATAGACGACTTCTTTTTTAATCATTTAGCCAACCCTATCCATAGGATGCATAAGCTAATTACGTAGCGTAATCGTCGGTTTGTGCGCCAATTTTATTTGGTGCTTTCTCAACTGTCTTTCAGCGGGTTCAGACGCATTTTTAATGTAAGGAAGTATTCGCCAATTTTTTGGTTTTGGTGCTTGATTGGAACAATCTAGTTCCTTATATCTTTCGTTTGATCCCTGCTGCCTCATGCATCGACGTAAAAAATCTCCATGGTAGCCATTTTGGGACAGTAGTTTGAACAAATAATTGAGTTCTACTCTGTATTCTTCGTTCCCAGAGCACGGTGTCTTTGCCTGATTAAGTAGCGCGTGAACAGCACTCCGTTTGTGAGCGATAGGTGGTTGCCCTCGTAGTGCAGGGTGACTTCCGCGTAAGTTTCTTTGCGGTATACTGATGTGTGGAATGTTCCGTCAGTTTTTTGCTATACGAGGACATCAAGAAATAGGAATTTGTTGTCATCTTTTTCGAGTGTGAAGGTGATTCCCGGTAGTGTTGTGTTGATAACTTTATGTGGCGTTTCAAGACGATCTCTCTTGACGATGAAAAAGGCGTCTTCTACATAGCGTACGCATAATTTGGGATTGAATGATGGTAGGACCATAGCCTCTAATTTTTGCATTGCGACCTCAGCTAAAAAGAGGTGACCCAATAGGAGCTCCTTTCAGCTGTCAGTAGTATTCATGTGTGAACGAAAAGTTCGTTTCCAGACGTAAGTGCGAGGGTTCAAGCAAAGCAGATGCGGGAACATCGATGTCGCAAGATTGTAGTTCTTCC